TGCAAGTCCACTGCCATTCTAAATGAAGTCACGCTCAAGTTACTGTGCCTGCTCCCACCCTGCTTTGGAGCCCACGGTGGGCATCGTCGGCCACGAAAGTCGAACTATCGGGTGTTCATGGGAGTCAGAGGAGATGCCCACCTCAACTGCAGTTGGTCGGCCATGCATAGATGGCGGCGATTATCTAGCGAGAAAGCTGAGCAACTACGTGCAAAATAGCATATGAACAGCTGTGCGTCACACAATTGCAGACATCTAAATTAGACGCGTATAGTAGAGCATGATTCGCCGCGATTATTTGATGATAATACGGACGTATGATGGGAAACTAGTCTTCCTCAAAATTATTTATTGTGGTTATCCCTTGCTAGGCCGAATTTACTTGATTTCGACGATTACACCCTTTTTTACAGCTGACCGCCATTCCTGACGATCATCAGCATAATTTGATTGTCGACTTGAAGACGATTAAGTAAAGTCCTCAGTGAGTCTTTGAGACTTGTATCTAGCTCCTGTCTGATAGCGTCCGTAATAACGTCGTCGGCGATCAGTCGTTTCGGTTGGACGTCTATTTCATATCCTAACAATGTTGCGGTGTAGGGTTGTCAGCGGTGGGTTCACGTGATGGTCGTGATGGTCGCTCACTTGCTTGCGGGTGAGACTACGCCTAGCGTTCACTTGCTGTCATTCAACTTTCACCTGTGGCTCCACGTAGCTGGGCTCTGCTCAGCGGCCACACCCCGGGCAACCGTCTCGACCGGCGGGCTAAACCAGGTGAGGGGACCCTGTGCGCTGTGCCGTGTGCACAGGGTTTGCGGATTCCGCTGGATGGAAGGTCGGATGGAACCTTGCGTCGGCACCGTCGTGACGTGGTTCGTCTCTGCACGCCGCTGGGCAGCCGGTGACGGGATGGATCTCCACATCGACATCACCTTGACGCGCCCACCTACGCCGTCGGAGACCGCGGCTTACGGCGAATTCGAGTCGCTCTCCACTACAACCCGAAGTCGTGGCCCCATAGTGGAGTTCGGCCGTGCCACAACGGCACATGGCAGCCCTATTCAGGGATGGCACTGCCAGCCCCCACGAGGGGAAGGGCCTAGAAAAGGTGGCCTAAACATTGCTGGGCACCACAACGTCTTCAGGCTAGCCAGGGCCGCAGACGTCTAATCATGGTCGAAACAATCAAAATCGAAACAACAACAATACCTATAACAATAACAACAATACTCGCTCACCTCCTCATCCTACCTCTTCTTTCTCTTCCTCTGCCTATTCTTCTGCCTACTCTTCTCCTTCGCCATCTTCTTCTCCACCTCCTTCCCGTCGCCCCACTCGTTGTCACCAGACTGGCAGGGTGAGTCCGCGCACTCTGGCAGCCTGGAATGTTTGTTCCCTTTTAGACAATCCGAGGAGCAACCGAACGGAACGAAGGACGGCGCTAGTGGCACGGGAACTGGCGCGCTACAAGGTGGACATCGCCGCACTCAGCGAGACCCGATTCTCCGAACAAGGCCAACTGGAGGAGGTGGGTGTCAGCTACACCTTCTTCTGGAGCGGTCGACCCAGGGCAGAGCGACGGGACGCGGGTGTCGCCTTCGCCATTCGGAACGACATCGTGGGACGACTGCCCTGTTTGCCGCAGGGCATCAACGATCGCCTGATGAGCCTCCGCCTGCCTCTCCGGCGGGGGGGGCAAATTCGCCACAATCATCAGCGCCTACGCTCCGACGATGACCAACCCCGACGCCGTCAGAGACAAATTCTACGAGGACCTGCACGCCCTCTTGGCGACTGTGTCGAAGGCGGACAAGTTGATTGTCCTTGATGACTTCAACGCCCGCGTCGGCACAGACCATACTGCCTGGAGAGGAGTGCTGGGTCCCCACGGTCTCCGCGGCTCAAACGACAATGGTCTGCTGCTTCTCCGCACCTGCGCAGAACGCCGCCTCATCCTGACGAACACCTTCTTCTGCCTGCCGGAGCGAGAGAAGGCCACCTGGAGGCATCCTCGGTCGCGCCAGTGACACCTGCTGGACTATGTCCTCGACCGGAGGCGAGATCAGCGGGACGTGCTGGTGACAAGGGCAATCGCGGGCGCTGACGGGTGGGCCGATCATCGCCTCGTCATCTCGAAGATGCGTATTCGCCTACAGCCTCGCAGGAGACCACAAGGTAAGCGACCCCCATGTAAGCTGGATGTTGCCTTGTTGTATTTGCCCGCTCACCATCTTCATTTCAGCAATGAGCTAGCTCAAAGGCTAGACAACCTTCCTATCGCTGCCGACGCCGCCGCTGCCGAGATCGCCTCCGTGGAGAACCGCTGGTGTCAACTGCGAGACACGGTCCAGTCGACGGCGCTCGCCGTCCTCGGTCGCGCTCCCCGCCAACACCAGGACTGGTTCGACGACAACGACACCGCCATCAGAAATCTGCTTGCTGAGAAGAACCGCCTACACAAAGCGTACGTAGATCACCCCACTGATGCCACCAAAGCTGCCTTCTACCGCAGTCGCCGCCAACTGCAGCAACGACTGCGCGAGATGCAGGACGCCTGGACTGCTCGCAAGGCTGAGGAGATCCAAGGGTACGCGGACCGAAACGAATGGAAGAACTTCTTCTCTGCGATCAAAGCTGTCTACGGTTCGCCGACGAACTGCACTGCTCCTCTCTTCAGCGCCGACGGCAACACTCTCCTGACTGAGAAGACGCAAATCCTGCAGCGATGGGCCGAACATTTCCGAGGCGTCCTCAACCGCCCCTCCGTCATCTCCGACGCCGCCATCGAGCGTTTGCCGCAAGTGGAGACCAACGTGGACCTCGACCTCCCGCCATCTCTCCAGGAGACCATCAGGGCCGTGCAGCAGCTCTCCAGCGGGAAAGCACCCGGATCGGTCGCAATCCCTGCTGAGGTCTACAAGCACGGAGGTCCCCAACTGATGGATCACCTGACTGCGCTCTTCCAAGAGATGTGGCGTCAAAGTGAAGTCCCGCAAGATTTCAAAGACGCAACCATCGTGCATCTCTACAAGCGCAAAGGGAATCGCTAAGTCTGCGACAATCACCGCGGCATCTCGCTGCTGAACATCGCCGGGAAGATCTTCGTCCGCATCCTTCTCAACCGCCTCAATAACCATCTGGAACAGGGCCTTCTACCGGAAAGCCAATGCGGCTTCCGTCGTCATCGTGGGACCACGGATATGATCTTCGCCGCCCGTCAACTTCAGGAGAAGTGTCAGGAGATGCGGACCCACCTGTACTCTACCTTCGTGGACCTGACGAAAGCCTTTGACACGGTGAATCGTG